TTTGCCACAAGCCACCTGGGAGACACACCAAACATGTGGAAGAAGGTGCTCTGGTCAGATGAAACCAAAATCGAACTTTTTGGCCACAATGCAAAACGATATGTTTGGCGTAAAAGCAACACAGCATCACCCTGAACACACCATCCCCACTGTCAAACATGGTGGTGGCAGCATCATGGTTTGGGCCTGCTTTTCTTCAGCAGGGACAGGGAAGATGGCTAAAATTGATGGGAAGATGGATATGAAGCCAAATACAGGAACATTCTGGAAGAAAACCTGTTGGAGTCTGCAAAAGACCTGAGACTGGGACGGAGATTTATCTTCCAACGGGACAATGATCCAAAACATAAAGCCAAATCTACAATGGAATGGTTCACAAAAAGACGTATCCAGGTGTTAGAATGGCCAAGTCAAAGTCCAGACCTGAATCCAATCGAGAGAATCTGTGGAAAGAGCTGAAGACTGCTGTTCACAAACGCTCTCCACTCCAACCTCACTGAGCTCGAGCTGTTTTGCAAGGAAGAATGAGCAAGAATTCCAGTCTCTCGATGTGCAAAAACTGATAGAGACATACCCCAAGCGACTTGCAGCTGTAATTGCAGCAAAAGGTGGCGCTACAAAGTATTAGCGCAAGGGGGCCGAATAATATTGCACGCCCCACTTTTCAGTGTTTTATTTGTTAAAAAAGTTTAAATTATCCAATAAATTTCGTTCCACTTCACGATTGTGTCCCACTTGTTGTTGATTCTTGACAAAAAATATTTTTTTTTATATCTTTATGTTTGAAGCCTGAAATGTGGCGAAAGTTTCAAGGGGGCCGAATACTTTCGCAAGGCACTGTACATACAAGAGCTGATGGGCTGAGTGAGGGTGGTCCTCTCTCACACATTTCTGTCTGAAAAAGCTGAACTAAATAGTTGATATTGAGTACAATAATGTTTTTGAAATTAGTGATAGAGCCAAATCATTTTGATAGCAATATTACATACTGTAGATTTCCCAGTGTTATTTCCTTTCTCATATTGTGATTGTATTTTCTGGCCTTATGGAGCAGCCCAAATTAATATAGAAATGTTTTGATTATGGAAAGAGATGACACCGTGTCTTGAACAAGTAGTAGGTGCTTTTAAGTCCGCAGTAGAGAGACTGACAGGCTCATTCCAGAGGGCACAGGTTAGGCCAGCATATGGGTGCAGCTGTGAGCCAAGCCCTTGTCATCCCTCTCCAACACTTACTGGGACTCCTGTCTGTATCCAACTGACTGGCATGAGATCATATAAGTCACTGGTGAAGTTAATCTGAAGAGAGTAGAGCCACATGAAGCATTAAAAGACAGAACTGTTTTAGCTCTGTTGTGCGTAATGGTTACAGTGCTCACTCAATACAGCATCAGTCACAAGAAACCTTGATCATTCTAAGATCTGGACAGTGGCTTGAGCTCACCAGTTGGCTGCTATGTGTCGGGCTATAGGGTATGGTCTTGGGTCTGTCACAGCTGATTGATGGGGAACACTAAGGGGAACTAAAGGGGCCGGTTTTGGAAGTTCAGAGGGCGTGTGAGGAGCTGGGGTATGTGTTGAACTTCAGGCCATGCAGCAGTCTGCAGGTGTTCCCCCAAAGAACCTTAAAGCAGTGTGACTGTGGCGGGTGGGCTTCATGATCATAGAGAGGCATAGAGTGAGGGATCGCATGTGTTTTCCCCAGGACACGCCAGCAGCTGCAAAACAATGATTTATGCTCCTTTCAGAACTCTAGGATCTCAAAATGTTACATTTAATGAAGTGCATTGAGAGCAGACCAAATGTTTAAAGATGTTTTTCCATAAAGGGCTTTAGTGAAGATGCATTCACCATACCACAGGAGCTGTGGGAATAGGGGAACAAAGTGATCTTTAATCTTCATTTAGGCAAGTTTTTTGAAAGCTGAACAAAGAATTAGCCTACAACACAACATATTTATTTCTTTAATACATTTCTGTTGTTGTTGTAATCAAACAAATGGAGGAAGGGGCATTGTTAGAATAGATTACCAATCCTTACAATTGCTGGTGCTGACTGCTGGTGTTCGGTCCTGCATAGCACTAAATTATATTTGTATGGAGAAAGAACAAAACGGTCATTCTCCATCACCACTATCATTAAATGCAATACAAGCCCAGTTGACAAACCTCCATGCTGCTGAGTTCATGGGACATTTATGAACTGTGCTGTGTGCTAGAGTTGGGGACAGGTGGATGTTATAGTGGAAGTTGGTAAGAGTTAATGAGATGCAGATGGAAGCAAGGCGCCACCTGACTTTGATCTTGCCACTCTTAATTCAAGTGCTCTGCTGCTTGCAGGCGCAGATCAGGGAAACACACAGGCATTCTAACACATGCTCCTCCAGTCTTTTGTTTCTATTAGTGGCCTAAGTGACTTTGTCAATGGGGTGTGAATGTGGAGAATTGTGCCATTGGAAATTGGACTCTTTTCATATTTCATATATTTCCACTGTAATAAAATCAATAACTAAAGTTATCTAAATAATGAAATACAGAGGTATAGTGGATATGGCGTCTTAAATTCTGTTGACAAAAATGCTATTCTAGTCATTTATGTAATTTATGTTGAAGTAACTTTATAAGTCTTTTACAAATGAGCTTCTTAACCATGAAGAATTAACTCTCTTCAGAGTGGGCTGTTTCCCACAGCCTTTTTAAAGCGGCATGTGGTTAGAATTGTTCATTTACTTGTAATTTTTGTTAATTTCTAGAAAATTTTTAAATGAAAAATTGTTTTTCATATTATGTGGTGTTAATTATTTAGCTTTTTGTATTTTTGAACTTAATCCTTTTATTACATGTCACCCTCAGTATCACCCTAACAGTTTCGGTCTGATTCTAATAGATATTTGAAATTTATATACTAAGAATTTTGTTTTTATGTTGTTGTATGGGACTGCTTTATGTAAACTGATTAATTATTTTATTTCTCGGTGTTTGGTTGTTGATGGAGTGTGTTACAGCTGATGGGTATTGTGGGTGGTGGGCTTCTTGGGCAAACTTACGGGACTGTGTCATACTGTGAAGTTCTGCTACTTTGACCAAGATATCTGTGCTTTATGGCAGGGCCAGTGTGTGTGGCTTGGGCCATTAGGATGAGGCTAATGTTTATGTCAACTTAGGTAGGTGACCTTTTAATTGCAATTTTAGTTAGTGGGTTTTTGAATTAATATATTTTCTATGATATATATTTTTGTTTTAATGAATGAGTGTCGTTATAAATGTCTTTCATTTTGGGCATGTTATTTTTTTTCACTTTATCTTTTAATAAACTGTAGTGGAGCTCATAGCTAAATTTTTAGTATTTTTTAAATAAACATTAGTACCCATCAGTACAGAAATTCTTATTTTGGGCATTTTGACATTGTTTTTTATTTATTATATTTGGGACTATTGAGGGGGTTGAGAGTTGTAATATTTAGTTTGTGTTGGTATATAATGGTATTTACTGGACATCGTGTTTGTGACGTACAGTATGATTGTTATATTCTGAGACACTGGTCAGTGGGTGTGTATGTGGTATATTTTGTTTGGGGTTCATACTGTTAATTTACTTAGGTATAGGCTCAAGTTGATGTTTTGCTCACTACAATATTATTATAGGTCGTTTATGGGTAATAAGCTAGATAAAAAACATTATTCAGGGTGGATGGTCTTAAAGTGTTGTGTTGGGGCACCGTTACTAAGTTGTATTGGTTATTCATGTTTTAGTGGAAGTGTCCGGGTGGGTGGTGATTGAGGGTTATATAGATATTTTAATATTTACTCGAAAAATCGTACGGTTAGTATGTAGTCTTTTGCTTTTGTTGTATATATATTGGGAAACCACAGATATGTAGTGATATATATTTGTTAAGTTTGGTATAAGAGATTATTCAGAGTGAATTTTGTATGTGTGTAAATTTTAAATGTAATTGGGAATTATATATTTGTGGAGGTAATGTGGGAATAGTGGGGTGTGTTTGATGTAGATTTATAGTTGTGGGTGTAACCAGTCGTTTGGTGTGTAATGTTGGTTGGATTTTTTTATATGCGTCTTTATGAGGGTAGGGGTTTGTATTATACGGGATGGTTATTTTTGTGTGAGGTGTTTGGTGTTTGTTGTTGGATCTAGACTATTGTGGAATTTTGATTTGGAGAAGTCATTAGTTATATGTTTACTTTGCCTAAGGAAATTTGGAAACCGGACAGATATATAATGGCAAGATGGTTCTAGGGGTGTGGGGACGTAGTGACTGTCATCGTAATGTGGTAATGATAATGGATGGGGGAAAGTGGGGTACGATTTTTAACATTTTAACTGATTGGTTTTTTTATAGTCTCTTAATTATAGTGGTTGTAAAGTTGTTGATGTGGCATTGATTATGTATTTGATAGAATTTTTTTATTGTGTAGTTGTTTGTTGTTTTGGAGTGGGAGGGGGTGCTGTAGTATTATGATGTGGTGTTAATGTGGTGGTTGGGTAGTTATGTTTTTGTGAGTTTTTTTACAGGTTGATTGTTGGTTAGATTGGTTGGTGGGTAGTTGGAGGTTTTTGGGATTGGGTGTATTTTAGGTAGTGTGGGTTTGAGATTGGATTTTGATTAGTTGTTAGATTATGAGTGTGGGTGAGTAAATGGTGGAGGGTATGTGGAGGTGTTGTGATTGGTTGTGTGTGTGTGGAGGGGGTGTTAGTGGGGTTTTAGTGATTTGGGGGAGGAATGAAGTTTGGTATTTTGTGTTGGTTGTGTGGGGTGATTATGGGTTTGTTGTTGTGATCTGTATGATGGGTTGGATGGGGGTGGTTTAGGTGGGTTGTGGTGGGGTATGGGTGTATGTGTGGTTTGATTGTGGGTATGGGGTTGGGGGGTTGATTGGAGAATGTGGAAGTTAGTGGTGTGTATTGGAGTATGTGGGTTGTTGTTTTAGTTAGTGGGGGGTGGTTGGTTTGGGGTTGGTAGGTTTTTGGGGGGGAAGGTGTATGGTTGTTGGTGGGGGTTGTTTGGGGTTGGGATTTTGGTGGTGGGAGAGGGTGGATGTAGGAGTGGGTTGATATGGGTTTGATGGTGTATGGATGGGTTTGTGTTATGGTAGTGGGGTTGTGGGTGGTTGGGTGATGTGTGTTGGGGGGGTGGGGTTGGGGTTTGGTGTTTTGTTGGTGGGGTTGTGGTGGTGGTGGGGTGTGGTGGTTGGTGTGGTGGGTAGTTGTGGGTTGGGGGTGTGTTGTTTTTGTGTGTTGTTTGTGTTGGTGGGGGTTGGTGTGGTTATTGGGATAGGGTGGGGGGTGGTTTGTTATGTTTGTGGGGTGAGTTTTTGTTGTGGGGGTGGGGGGGTGTGGTGGGTGGTGATGTAGGTATTTTGAGGGTAAGTTTGGATTTGTGGTTTAGGGTGGAATGTGGTTTGAGGTGGTGGGGGGGTGGTTGGTGGGATGGTTGAGGTGGGTTTGGGGTGGTGGAGGGTTGTATGGTGGTTGGTGTATTGGGGGTGAGTGTGGGGGGGTTGGTGTGGTTGGTGGGGGTGGGGTGGTAGGGGTGGGGAGGTTTGTAGATGTGGAGGGGTGTGGATGTAGATATGGTATGGGTGGGTTGGGTGGGGTGTTATAGGGTATGGTGGTGGGATAGTGTATAGGTGTAGATGGTGGGGTTGGGGATGTTGGGGAGTGGAGGTGGGGGAGTGATGGGGGGTGTTGTTGGTGGTGAGATGTGTTGGGGGGGTGGGTTGTAGGTGGTGTTGGGGGTGGTGGTTGGTGGGGTGGGTGTGTTGGGGTTATGTGTTGGGATGGGGGGGGTTGGTAGGGGGGGTGGGGTTTGGTGTGGGGGTAGTGGGTATGTTGGTGGTGGGTGGTTTGTGGGTGGGTTGTTGGGGGGGGTGTGGTATTGGATGGGTGGGATTGTAGGTTGGGGAGTTGGGGGTTGGGGATGTTGTAGGGGGTTGGTGTTGTGGGTTGTAGTGGGGTGGGTGGGTTTTGGATGTGTTGGGGGGGTGGTGGGGGTGTGGATGTTTGTGGGGTGTTGTAGGGGTTGGTTTGGGGTTGTGGGGGGGGGGGGTTGGTGTTGGGGTTGGGGGGGGTTGGTGGTGTATGTGATGGGGGGTTGGGGGGGAGTTGTTGGTTAGTGGTGGAGTGGGGGTTTGGTGGGGTTGGGGTAATGGGTTTGGGGAATGTGGGTGGGGTTTGGTTGTGTTGGTTTTGGTGGGGGTGGTTTTGATTATGGTATTGGGTATATGGGGTGGGGTTGTTTGGGGGGTGTGTGTGGTTTAGGGGGGGTTATTTGTGTTTTAGGTTTTGGGGGGGATTGTGGTGGAGGAAGGGTGGGTTGTGGGGGTAGTGTAAGGGGGAGGTTGGTGATGGGATGGGGGAGGGGGGGTGTGGGAGTGGGGGTATGTTGTGTTGTGGGGTTGGGTGGGTGATGGAGGGGGGTTTTGTGAGGAGATGGGGGGGTGGTGGGGGGGTGGGTTGTGGGGGGGTTTGTTGAGGATGTGGGGTTTGGAGGTGGGTGTGGGGGAGGGTAGGGGTAGGGGAGTGCCAATGATACCCAGTACCACTGATGGAAACCTTTGCAACATGGGGACTCCAAGTCGAAAGGCATCAAACTGTGTCCTTCATTGTTGTGAACACGAGTGCAACTACTTTGTGACTCTGGTCTGTGAAAGGCTAAATAAAAAAAGATTCCATACGCAATGTAGTGGTAAAATGCATTCTTTGTGATTCCAAGTTGATGACAAACCAAAATCTACTTCCGTTATGCAAATTAATTCCCCCAATCGAACGTTTTTTATTCGCAGAACTAGTTGGAAAGAGTCAAACATAATCATAAAGTGATATAGCCATATCAATTCGAATCAGTTCATTCTACGAATAGGCCCTAAATCACAACAGTAGCTTTCACTCTATGAACTTAACAAAACCGTTTAATTTACAAACACAAAACAGAAGAATTTAACGGTCTCAAACGCAATAATTCAAAGAAAAAAAACAAACAGAATAAGGAGCAGAATACCAATTGACCATAAATGATGAGTGTCCAGGATCAACACTACTTACCACAATCCCTTCCTTGTGAATGAGTCCTTCTTCCCAAATAAAAAAGCTTTGTAAATTTTTTCAGCATTTAGGGGGCAATCTACCACGTAGTGCTGCTGGACGAGAAAGATCCGACAAAAGAAAGCAAGTCTTCTGTCAAGACTGTTAAGGGAATGTTGCATCATGTTGTTATTGTTTTCATTCTGTTTGGTTTTAAAAAATCTGAATCGAGTATCCAGCGAATCCATCAAGTTTGATCATTATTGTTTTGAATTATGTTTTTTTATGCTGATAATGCTCAAATCAAATCTTTCTTAGCTTAATAAACCCCAAATATAATATTGAATTCGTATTCATGTGGGAATTGGCAAAAATATGACTGTAGCCGATATCTAGGCACAATTCAATAAATAGATGCTAGATGCGATTAATTACGATTCATGTCACTCATATTATTCAAAGGCATTACAAAAATTGAGAAAATATCAAATGTCACATTATAATGATCCTACACATTAACCACATAACACCCACCGTCACTGATTTTTTCAGAGTTCAGCTTGTAAAAGCACATTATTATGAGGTCATCAACCCCACAAGCTATTCATCATTTTAGAAGATATTTCTCATCAACATTAAGATACAAGTGCATACAATAACCAGACTTTACACTAAAAAGATATAAAGCATAATATGAAGCCAACAAAACAAAAATAAAAAGGAAAAAGAGGCCACAGCGATTAATCCAAGCGTGCCATTTCTTCCGTAAATGTCCATTGAAATGCAATATCCACTTTTGATTTCTGAAAAATAATCCAGTATGGGAAATTAATCCATATCTTTGCATAAACTAGATGGCATCTTGCTTTTAAATGTATATAACTCACAAATGTATGTGTAGGATATAATTATATAATAGCAAAAACAATTGGGTATGACCACCATTTGTGCACAATCCTAAGTGCAAAAATGTAGGAAGGAAAGTTCAAAAAACCTTTATATTTGAACATTCATGACACAGCCCTGATCCACAAAAAAGCAGCCATAATCGCGTAAAACCATAATCTTGGCGTAAAACGCCAAAAGTGAAACGGATAATAATTGAAATAAATAACGCAATAATCTTATTTTCCCTCACCTCTACTTCAATGGTTTGATCCCTCGTAGCACATGGAACTGAGCAGATTTCTTTGGGGTTCTCTTGATATATACTATTATTTAAAGTTGAAGAATTGTGTTGGAGTTGCCTTCATCACAACTCTGAAAACACAACCACTATGATGATGGAGTTCTCCTAGTGCCTACTGTTAGGCTGTGTTTTTCCTCAGACCTCATCCGCTCAGGGGACCGTGTTAAAACCTCATTCCGCCTTGTGTCCCGTTTCGGAAGTGAACAATGCGTCATCTCACTAGTCGCAGGCAGAGCGGTTACACAGTTTGTTTTTTCCACTTTCCTCCCACTACACATAACGCACACAGGAAGCAAATAAAATCGATCTGAAATGTTGAAGTCGTGATTCTGACAGGTGCATGTATTTGTCAAATAATTATGGAGTAAAGTCCACAAAGGGGTCAGTTAGAGGCAGCGTAGTATTGCAAACAATGCCAGCGAAAAGCCTTACTTTCTAAGAATAGTTTATTTCCCTCAGCTGCAGATTGAAAAACCAGTAAACTCCGATTTTAAATCTCTAATTCTACTAAAAATTGTGAAACTAATGTAAAGATATATGCATTGAATTAATGAAGCCATAGTAAAATCCCACATTTTGACCTGCATGATTACCAGCTTATTATCTCATTTCCCCATGGAAACCTTTTGTATCATTGATATAGAAGGACTAAGAAATAATTGACCAACTAATCAAAACAAAACAACCAAAGACCGACAGCTTATCCACCCAACTGATGGATAAAGTTGATACCAGGTCAGACAAAACTGCCTTGTGACAAAAAGAACCAACTTTATTATAGTGTGTGTATAAGGTAATTGGTGAGAATACAAACAAAGATGAAATCTGTTTACTTGAGGGACATGGGAAGACAAGCCGAAGTAACACAGACTGCAGCATTTGTTTCTGTAGAATCAATAGACAATGATAAAAACATAACTTTTTGTAACTGTTTAAGTAGATCATAGCTCAGAAGTGCAGGTGACCATGATGTTGACAGAGATTGTAAGCTCCGTGGACTTCATCCCGTTGATCGAAAAATCACAAATACAAATGATAGATCGAATCAAAGTTACACCCTTTAACCACATTCTGTAATCACAATGTGAATGTTATGGATCTGTAAAATGTCCTTTCATTTTTTACATTGGAATTCATTATTGCAGAAGGCGGAACAGTAAGATACACTCCCATTTAATTTTTTCTGTTTTATCCAAAAAGGTCCATGTCAGAGCAACCAAGATATGGATCTGTAATTGACATTGACCATAAAGTCATGTTTTTATTTACATGCTGTGTTCGATTTTTGGTATTTGACTCCTGACTAATTTAACAGAACATCATGTAATAAAATGCAAAAAACACAAGAAAACTAAGCATGTTTAACACCGCCTGTACTTACACAGTAACAAAAATATAAACCTTTGAAAATCAATTCAGTAAGGAAGCTTTTAAGTACCCAAAACAAAAACCTTTGGATTTTTTATTTGAGCAAAACGGTGTGGTCAACATAATGCACAAAGTGTGCCAAATAAGGCCCACGTTTAAGAATTTAGGAAGCAATGCATGATTTTAAGAGCGACTAAACACCAAATCAACTTTTTTTAACTCATAAACTGCATAAGTATGTTTATTGTAGTGCTGACTACATATCCTGGTCTTTTTTTGACATTTTAGTTCAAATATAGATAAAATATTCACTTTTGAGCCAAAAACGCTGTGTGGTGCCCTCTCAAACCTTTTTGGTGGTACTACATTTGAATTTAGGTTCTGGCCTCTCCATTGACTCTGAAGTTCTCTATGACATCAGTTGTTTTGTGTGACGTCAGTCTGTCAGAGCCAGTGATGTGATCCCATTCAACTCTCACACACGCCCCAGCTGCAGTTATGGAGTATTTCACGGCGCCATCTTGTGGGATTAAAATGAAAGTAACATTGAGTCATTCTGAGAATTATTGAGAGTGGGTTAGGGTTCAGGGTGGTAGCTTTACAATTCTATACTTAGTGTGTAAACAAGGGTGGATATGATACTTTCTGTCTGTAAAATCATTGCTTAAGCAGCAATGACAACTGTCTGTTTTTTTTTTAGTGTGACAAATGACTGGCAAAGCACAGCCAGACCACGCCCAACTCTAATCCCCCTTCTTGTCCCTTGGCCTCCAGGCAACGCCCTTTTCTAGAGAAAATTTTAAATCTTCATTTGTGGGCGGAGTAAGGCAGGGCACAGGTGTTTAGTCGCTCTTTAAACAGCCAGTCATTTTACTTGCTCCATGGCTGAGGTCAAAATGGAAGCTGCTTCCTTAACGTCCTTGCTGAGTATATATTACAGCATCATCTGCATACATTTGAAAACTCACATTAGTACATGTTTTGGAATGATCATTTATGTACAGTGAGAATAATAGGGGGCCAAGTTATTGATCCTTGCGGCACACCGACTGAGACATCCTGGATTGATGAGACTTTACACTGCCATATTTGTAACATTGTTTCTCAGTGAAGCTATATATGATTTCATCTTTGAATGGCCTCTGGCGAGAAGTTGAAGTCTGTTAATTTTGCTATCAGAATTTCATGGCTGATCAGTGTCAAATGCCTTTTTAAGATCAAGGAACACTGCACCAACACATCTATATATATCTAATTTACTTTTTTACGTTTTCTAATAAAGAGCTGTTTGCTGATTCAGTGGAATGGTTTGCTCTAAAACCAAATTGCAAGGCATGCAAGCCAGACGAGCTACTGTTTAGATGTTCATTTATAATATTTGCTACCCATCTCTCAACAATCTTGGAAACAACTGGAAGGTATAGAAATTGGTCGATAATTGGATATTTGCGATCTGTCACCAGTTTTAAAAATTGGAGCGAACTGTGGCCAGTTTCCTGGAGGATGGAACAACTCTGATTGATTGACAAATTAACCATTTGTGTTATTGGGGCTATACAAGACTCTTTGCATAATTTTAGAAGAGTGTCCAAACCATGAATGTCTTTGGCTTTAGAATTTTTAGGTGAACCAATAATTTTGGAAACTTCTAGCCATGTTTTTTCACGTAAACGAAATGACAGGCTGTGTTGGGATCAATGGACCTTGTTTTCAAATCATAGGATGGAAATAACTCACTTATTTTACCTGACAGAGTTGACAAAATAGTTATTAAATTCATTTGTCAGTATATCTGGATCCGACACAGAAATGTCTTATTTTTAGCATCAATTCGCCTTGCTGTTTTGCGTTATATGTCTTCTTCCAGTTAAGTTGATTTAGATTTTGCAGATCTC